GGGGGGGGGGTGGAGAAGTATTCTATTGTTTTGAATATTTTCTGCAGTACCCCCGTTGCGTGGTTGTAAATTGCATATAACTCCTTACTTACCATGGTCCCCCTGAAAGGCCCAAGCCTTGCCTTTGGCCTATGGTGTGGAACCAGAAGCCCTGATGCAGCCCCAGGACAAGGCCAGTCTCAGCTTCAATGATTCGTCCCGTACATTCGCCAAGGTGCTGTGCAATGAACTCGGCAAATTTCACCTGCACAAAGAAGCAGCATTGGACAAAGAACCCAGTCATAGCTGACAAACAATTTAAAGAAAATAAAGAAAATAAATAAAATTTAAATTAATAAGTAAACAATCTTTACAAAGTGGTAGTCCTCTGAACAAAATACAATGATGTGCAGCCTAATCATGAGGGTACGTACTAGGTAGGTATACATACTATACATTGTATACAACCTATTATCAAATCAATGTGGAAAAAAGAAGTCGCCCATCTGCCTTCTGTTCTGTGTGAATCACATTCACGCTTGTTTGTGTCCAGTCCGATACAGTCATGATGAGGGTCAAGTGTGTTTAGCGGAAGACTGTCGTCCTACGTAAGCAACGGCTGGAAGACTGAAGGCTCTTCGAAGGACCGATCTCCTCTCCTCCTCTCCATTCTCCTTTCTCCTACCTTACGTAGGAGGATTCCTCAGCTGGGTTGGGTTGAGGGTTTAGGGTTTAGGGTTATAGGGTTTGGCTTAGGGTTTAGGGTTTAGGGTTTGGTTTAGGGTTTAGGGTTCAGGGTTTGGTTTAGGGTTTAGGGTTTAGGGTTTAGGGTTTTCCTTGTGGAATGAAACATGGATTCTAGCATTTCACTCAGTTCGCTTTCTGCTTGCTCGAGTCCACACAGCTTCCACACGATCTATCTTATGTATACTCACATCCTTTTGTAATTAATTGTTACTCTGTCATTTCATTGTGTTGCCTTTCAGCTTGTTCGCGTCCAGTAGGGTTTAGGGTTTAGGGTTTTCCTTGTGGAATGAAACATGGATTCTAGCATTTCACTCAGTTCGCTTTCTGCTTGCTCGAGCCCACACAGCTTCCACACTATCTATCTTATTTAGACTCACATCTTTTAGTATTTAATTGTTACTCTGTCATTTCATTGTGTTGCCTTTCAGCTTGTTTGTGTCCAGAAACTAAGGGTTTTCTCACTCCCCCCCCCCCCCCCCCCCCCCCCCCCCCCCCCCCCCCCCCCCCCCCCCCCCCCTCCCCCCCTCTCTGCAGCCTCCCCTACATGCACGCCCCGCTAACCCGAAAGAGGCGAGAACTTAAGCGACCAGTACATCCGAGTGTAATAACCTGCAAAATCACAGACTGAAAGGCCTGTTGTTTTCTGAGTTCGGCCGGTGGACTGAGTGACGGTGAGATTCCCGTATTCTGCTGAGATTTTTCTAAGTACTAGTGTGTGTATGATTTGGCTGAGTATCCATGTGTTTGCCTGACTGCATGATTGCTTGGGAGTGTGTGTGACCCACCAGGATACTTGTGTGCTGGAAAAGGCTCTGGGCCTGCTGGTACATACCTGTGTCTGTGCTTTTGTGAGGGTGCAGAGGGAATCAGAAGTAGGCTACCGTCTTCACCCGAATAGAACGCCCGATAATTATTGCTGTATCTGGGCTGAAAGTTGTGCCAGATACAACTATAATGACCGGGCGTTCTATTCGGGTGAAGACGGTAGGCCCGAGTAGGATGGAAAACACTCAGGTGTTCATCACCTTCTTCTTCTTCCATTCTTATTTCTTCTTCTTGCTTTGTCTACTTCTCTTCCCAAGTTCTTTGATATCAGTTGGAGCGGCGAAACCCTGGTGGTGGTGTGACCTGTGACTCACATCCATGCAACATAGACACGGGACACTTCACACATGACATGTCATCATCTTGCGAACGAAGCACTTCAAAATTTGACGAGAAAGATACACAATAAAAAGTCGCCAACACCAAGAAGCCCGTGCCATCCTTCACGGAGGAGAAAGAGTCAAAAGCCCGCACTAGCACCCAGGCATCCCTGACACCGTGTTTCGGCTGCTGCCGAAGCGGCCTTCCTCGGGGGGATTCTCGTCGGTACATGCTGGCTTTGCCTTCTTCACCGGCCAACTAAGTGGTAAGCACTGGGACGCAGCAATAAGTGCTTTTTTTTTTTTTTTTTTTTTTTTTGAAGACGTTGATAAGTAATGGGGCGGGAGAAGAGTCGATCTCTCTTTGATCCATAGATCCGTCCACATTCGCTGCACCCACACAGGACAAGATTCCTCTGTCTGGTTGCAGAACCCTCCGTGTACGGAACACAGCTGTGCGGGTGCAGCAGCTGTGCTTCATGGACAGCCACAGACATCATCGGATTGATGAAGGGCTTTCTGGTTCGTCCTTCGTCGGCAGACTCGGCAGGTCACACAGTCTTGATTCATCGCCTTTTTTTTTTTTTTTTTTTTTTTTGAAAAGCACCACGTGGCTCTGCTACGGGGGCTGGTATGAGCAGGTCACGGTCATCACCTGGTTGACCCTTTGGGTGCTATTTGGAAACAGCCTTGTGCTGGCACATGCATGGTTTCTGTCGTCCTTAGGAGGACTAACTATGTCTATTGTCCATGTCTTTCTTCCTGGTTCTCTACTACTTCACTCAACCTTCTCAAAATAAGTTTGGAGTAGGTAGACACTTTCCAAAACAGGTAAGAGAAAGCGTTCTCACCTTCCCAAGAAAGCATATCCCTTGGCTGTCCTTGCGGCCGCAGTTTGGCAGTTTCAGATGCTCAGCCACTTTCCTAACCTGTGCCTGCTCCGGTCAGCAGCAACCCCAACACACATCAGTATTGCTTCTTGTTTACAACTCCCATAGCCTATTCTCTCTCTCTCTCTCTCTCTCTCTCTCTCTCTCTCTCTCTCTCTCTCTCTCTCTCTCTCT